TTCGTCTGCTGTGCATGGGGTCACTATTAGTTGGTTCCAACTTGATGGCACCTGACAACAATGAAGATCAAAATCCACAGCCTTCGGTATGGGTTGCACCTCAATGCAAAGATAACAAAAATCCTTATCACTGGACCAATGAACAACATCCATGTAATGGAGAAAAAAATTGAAGTTGTCAAAGACTCCATTTTGCTCAGATCAACCATCAACACTCATGGAAGCAGTAGTCAAGAAATCAAACGATGTATTGCATTAGGCAAATCTACTGCACAAGACCTCTTTAAAGTGTGCAAGAGCAAAGATGTCATTTTCAGTACTAAGGTGCATCTGACCCAAGCCATGGTATTTTCAATACCTTCATATGCATGTGAAAGTTGGACAGTGAATAAGGAAGACTGTAGGAGGATTGATGCATTTGAGTTATGGTGTTGGAGGAGAATATTGAAAGTACCATGGACTGCTAAAAGAACAAACAAATACATGTTGGAAGAAGTACAGCCAGAATGCTCCTTGGAAGCCAAGATGGCCAGACTTCATCTCTTGTACTTCGGACATATTATCAGGAGGGAGAAGCACATCATGCTTACTAAAGTGGAGGGTCAGTGAAAAAGGAAGACTCCCCCGCAACGAGATGGATTGGCACAGTGACAGCAGAAATGGGTTCAAGCGTAGCAACAATTGTGAGATTGGTGCAGGACCAGGCAGTGTTTCATTCTGTTGTGCATCTGGTGGCTATGAGTCGACAGCACTTAACAACAACAACTATATTTGTGTACATGTTAAATGTGTGGCATATGACTTTGTGTGTCTGATATGTACAACTGAATGCTTTATATATGAGAGATGTTGGTGCAGGTGTGGAGACCTCTGTGTGAGTCTGTGTGTCAATGTGTTTATGTGTGTAGGTATGTATATATGTGTGCATATGTATACATATATAGGGGGTGTGTGTGATGTGTTTGCCCATCCCTGCACATTTGCATATCATATATGTGCATGTTGCTGAGATGGGGCACTGTCATGGATTGAATTGTGTCTTCCTGGATTGAACTGTGCCGGCTTGGAGGGGCCATGCTTCAGTGATTTGGCAGTTATATAGTTATGTAATTTGATAATTATGCAATGATATGATCTAATGTGATCAGCCAGTCAATTACAAGGGGATTAATGTGTGATGTAATGCCCTTACTCAAATCATAACCCTGATTCAATATGAGGAGAGTGTCCCTGGAGCGTGGCCTGCACACAGGGGAGAGGACTGAGCAGAGAAAGGGGCCTGACGAAAACCAAGAAAGAACAGTCAGGAGTGAAGAGCATCCTTTGGAACTGGAGTCATTGCGCTGAGAACCTCATAGACCCAGGGACGACAGATGCCAAGACAGTGAGTCAGCAGTCCAAGCGAGAAGTCCGAATACAGAGAACTGGCTCGAGAGGAAGGCTTTCTCTCTCTGTCTCCTTTCAGCCTCTGTAGACCAAGCATTCCTAGAAGATTGGAGTATATCCTACCTGGATTTAAAGGCCATCTCAAGAATTGATGGATGGAACACTAATTTGCATTATAAACTTTCACCTAAACCACAATATAACTTTTTTTTTAAATACCTGCAATATACAGATGATACAACCTTGCTTGCTGAAAGTGAAGAGGACTTAAAATACTTATTAATGAAGATCAAAATTCACAGGCTTCAGTTCAGGTTGCTCCTCGGAAACCCTATACAAGGTCACTATGGGTTGGAACTGACTCAATGGCGCTTAACAAGAACAGCAAACTGTAAAAGAATAAACTTCTGTTTCGTGAAGTCATCCACTCATGGTACTTCTGTTATAGCAGCACTAGAAAACTAAGACAGGCACTAAGACACTTCTGTGTCTCTATGGATGTAAATCAACAAATTCTCACACATGGAAGACCCATTCATCATTGTCATGAATTGAATTGCGCTCCCCCAAATTATGTGTCAGCTTGTCTGGGCCATGCTTCTCAATGGTTCAGCAGTTATGTATGGCGTGATTTGGCATTTAGGTAATGACATAATCATCCTCCATAATGTGGCCAGCCAATTAGCTGTAAGGGTAGGTAACGACATAATCATTCTCCATAATATGGACAGCCAATCAGCTGTAAGGGTAGGTAATGACATAATCATCCTCCATAATGTGGCCAGCCAATCAGCTGTAAGGG